TACCAGTCCCGGTAGTGGAGTAAATAAATGCAATGGAGTAGAGTGCGAGAAGCATCAAGAGCATAGATATCTGGATGACAGAGGATACAGGTGAGAAGGAGATGGAAGGAAGTCTTAAGAAAAAGGTTGTATAAAAGCAAATAGCCAACAGCTCAAATATGGCATGTGTGAGAGCATGCACCACCACATTAACCCTTTCCACACTGGTCACAGGTCAAAGGCTACATCACCACATTTGTTGACTTGCATTCAAAATTTATTCAACTATTATTTTATGAATTTATGTCAGTAAGTTTGGTATCAAACTGTAGAATATAACTCTAATTTTAGTATTATACAATATTTAAGTTCTCAATTTAAAGTAGATATAAAAAAAGAACACCTAAAAATTGGTTTTGTGTGTCACGTGGTATGTTGAATGAAGCACTTATTTAAATTAGATGTTTGTGATGTCAAAATACTAAGTCTATAGTTTCGTATGAATTAGGAACTCAAATTACCAATATTAACAAGCTAGAATATAAAATAAGAACTTCCTATATTTTCTATTTGCCGAGATATTGCTCATCAAACACAGTGGCCGTTTTTCAAGTATTATGACATCATCTCAATACAAAACGTCAAGGTGGTAAGTTGAGTCTTTAGTCTGCTCGAACTTTCATATTTTTCTAGACCCAAATACAGCTCAGTTACTAAGCTTGATAAATTAGAGTGGAATTCTATGGAATCAATATAGTAATTTATGATTTTTGGTTATTTCAAATGTATATATAAAACTTAAAAAAAATTATTTCATTTCACATCCTCCATGTGCAAAATTTTATAAGGCTTAGCAACCTATGACAAGCAGCAAATGAGTTCAAAGGTCGTAACTATAAGAGATAATTGTTTGCTTTATTTCTTTATTTACTGTTCTATGTTTTAAGGGAAAAATAAGTTTAAGAACTTATTTGTAAATAGTAATAATGTATATACATATATAATGTATAATAATTGAAATGTGACTGTATTTTACAAAATTTTTACATTAAAACACAGCCCAGACAGGTCACTTTAAAAAGACTAATAGTCAGTTTTATATTATTGGACATTGTAACATGAGTGCACATGTGCTGCATCATTGTAACTTCTGTACTATTAGCCAGACACAGCTGAAAGGTCAATATAATAAAAATAAT